TGAAGGCACAGTAATGTTAGTGTGTGCAAACTTCTGAATTTAAAGAAAGTAATAAATATTATTTTAAAAAGTTCTACCTCTCATTATTCTGACGTTTAACAAATAGAAATAATTTTGGTAATCCTCTCTGAGCTAAAACAGGAAAAATTTAGTCTGATTCAGTGTCAGATAGTGAGGGGAAAAAAGATTATGTGGCTTTTTATACAATTTATGTAAACTTCTGGTTTCAACAGAATTGTGAACCAGGAGAATCTGGTTTCATTTTTGAACACGGTCATGACGTATGAAAACTTGTACGATTTAAACAAAACTAAAGCTGCTAAGAGCAGCCACTGAAGTTCGAAAATGATAATAAAAAGTCTGAGATGCCACCATAAATATGAATTACACATAAAGAACATACAGGCGGGTGACATATTAAAGGAAAAACCTGGAACCTTGACCCCTACAGTGAGGTGATCCGGTGGCTCCGTTACGCTGTAGAGGTGATTTTGCTGGCAAGGTTTGAGTCCGTTTGTCCCCTTAGAGGCAAGAGTCACTACAAATCAATACAAAGTTGTTCTGAGTGATTGTCTTTATCCTATGATGAAACATTTCTATCTTGATGGGAGTGGTCTCTTCTAGGATGACGATAAGGCTCGAGGGGTCTCTGAATTTGTTGAATGGATGTGAAAATTATGTGAATCAGATGCTTTGGCCCTCGCAGGTACCTCAGCTCATCCCAGCTGAGCAAATATGGGAGATTTTCAATCACCGAAACACAAAATGAGGGAATATATTTTGGAAAAATATAGAGCTATCAATGCCAAGGAGCATGGAAGCTGATCTGGCAGCACATGTTGAATAAACACCTTTCTGATGATGGTCTTTCTTTCTTTCTTTCTTTCTTTCTTTCTTTCTTTCTTTCTTTCTTTCTTTCTTTCTTTCTTTCTTTCTTTCACAACCTTTACAAGTCATGCTGGTGATTTGATGGAAGAGTTGTGTTCCTAAAACATTCTTAGAATATTACTGTGCAATGTCGTAGGGATGTTTTCAGCAGGAAGTTGTTCACAGAAAAATGTTCTTAAAAGCACTTTCACAATCTATAAAAACATTCTAACGATGTTTGGTGATAACATTGTTAAAACAATATGCTCTAACATTAAGAAAATGTTTTCAGCAGGAAGTTTTTTGCTTTGTTTTGTTCCAAGAATGTTATTCTAGAGTTGGAGAATGTTCTTGAAAAACCTTCTAAGTGTCTCTTGTAGTAACATTGCTAAAATGTTTTTGATACCCGTTAACCACATGTCTTTAAAATACTGGACTCATATGCAATATATCGAACCCAATCAATTCATGTACAATATTTAATGCCCATGTGCAACATTGTAATTTATTTTATTATGTAAATATAATGATAGTGTTTCTGTACATCCTATCTTCACAAATTCCACTTTTATTTATCCACATTATTTATTCACCTGTAATGTTTCATCCTGTCCATAGATCACCTGAAGCTGTTTTTATGTTGTCAGATTATCGAATGCAATGTTGACATTTTTCTTTGTTTGTTGTTGTGCGACATTGTGAAAATGTTTTATGAAGAACGTTCTATAATCCTCAGAATGCTACAGGCAAAATGTTCTACTTTGTTTAACACATGACATTGCGGGAATGTTTATAAAGAAACATTCCGTCACTCAGGTATTAACAACATCCTTGAAACATTTTTTGAACGTGGTAATGAGAACGTTCTTCGTTTGTTATCATGTAACTAGATGCGTAAACCTGACAGCGTCCTCAAACCGTCCTCTCAATGTTACAGCTGAAACATAACGTCTTAGACAACATCCAACCTTATAGGAACATTGAAACCGTACATTGAAATTTTTTCTTCAAAACATTATCACAACTTTTAGCAAATGTTAGTCAACGTTGTGGGACTGTTCTCTGCCAGTTTTGTGTGAATGTATGTTGTCATTAAACGTCTTGTGCAATTTTTATGCTACGTGCTGAGACCACAAGCTATTTTTCAACTATATTTTCAGTGGTGGAATAAATCCTTCACTTAAAACCATCAATGCCACGACGTAAAAATACTGTTACAAGTAAAAGTCATACACTGAAGATTATATTCAAGCAAAAGTATAGAAATACTATCAGCAAAATGTATTTAAAAACAACCATTTAGAGGAAACGAACCACTGCCAATGCTTAACTTCACATATTTTATAAGACAGTAACAAGAAGAGCTGTCAACACCAGGAGCTAATACTAACTGCTTTATGTACTGTTTGGCAGTGTGATATTAACAAGTCATCAGATTTTATTTCACCGTATGTGTGTGTCTGCAAAGTAACTTAGGTGAAGCGTAAAGTGGCAGAAAATGAAAATGCATATGTTTATGTGCGATGCGTGCTCCAGTCATTAGGGACAGTCATCACAGAGGTGAGAGTGAGAACTGAGGGAGTTGAGGGCTTCTGGTCATAGAACAGCATGCCTGTGCTTATGAAATTAACATTGTTTGTCCTTGAGGGCTTCCTGATTGAATCACACGGGCCCGATGACGTCATGCGAGGTTTAAGTCATATTTTGGATTAGGGAGGGAGGGAGGGGGAGAGACACAGAGGGAGGGAGAGAGAGAGAGAGAGAGAGAGAGAGAGGGGGAGGGATGAGTCACTGCCTCACTGATGACTGTCTCCAGTGAGTGGTCAGATAATTCAGGTACAAAAAGAGACACAGGCACAGCACGACCGCCTAATGGCACTCAAATAAAATGACTTATTGGGAACTCGCAAAATACACCTTTTAGGAAGATTAAATAGTATTGATGCCCCCCCCTTCCCTCCTTCACCCTCCTCCTCCTCCTCCGCATGAGGCTGGTGCTAAACAATGATGAATCTCGCTCTTCTGTATTGTATTTACGACCACGGATTTAAATAACTAATGCCTTCGCTGCCTTCGTATGTGGTCCCCACTGTTGGCTGCTACTGAAACATCCAGGAAAAACGATCCATCTAAACCTCAATATACTTGATTTAAGTCGATGTCCCGCTTCATAAATGTTTTGATTTACTTCAGTTTTCATTCAGTATTAACCGCTTCACTTGCTGAAGCTCTGCATTCAGTTACTGAATGGGACTTCATGGGCGCAGGCGCGGGAGGCCTGAACCTCGACTACTTGAAGGGACTTGACAAGATTACTTGTTGAAAAGTCAATCAAATGCTGTGAAGAGACACAAAACAACTACGCAAAGATATAAAACCGTCACAAAAAGATGCCAAATGACCACTATGTGAGGCAAAACAACTACAAAGACAAAAGCAAACTACAAAAAATCTGATCAGAAAGAGACGTAATACCGCAAAGAGATGTAAAAACACTCACAGAGGCAAAATGATGTGCAAAATAGACTAAACGGATGTAAATACAGACACTAAACAACCACTAATGATGATACTGTGTAAACGTTCTACCTCGTGACCGCCATTTGTTGATCATTAAAGTACTTTTAGATGAATTTTCAATGGAGTACTCCACTAGTAAACAACACAAACCTGCCCTTGACGACAGTTTAAAGACACAACAAATGTTTGAAAAAGCAAAATAAGCCTCAATGTGTAACTGTCTTAGGCTTTACTCAGGGGATGTGAGTCGAGCACTGCTGCAATAGTTTGTATCACTTTAAAGATCACATCAGCAAACTTTGATTTTAGCTCCCGTCCACCTGCAGGCAGATCAGAGGTCATCGTCAGCTGCAGTACAGAAAACCTACAAAGGTAGCTTCAAATCAGCCTCCACGTCAATTCATCACAGCTGCTCATTTTTCTTTGACAGCCTCCAAGAATTTGGCCTTACTCCTGCCATATGTGTCTCATTTACACCTTACAACATTAAAAGAAAACTCAAAATCCCTCTTTTTAGGATCTATAACAGAAACACTGAACAAAAGGTTAACAACAGGTTTAATGTTTATGCAGGGACTTTAAGCGTTACAGTTAGCTCATTAAACATGAGGGCTGCAACTATCAATGAATGTCCGTTTCAATTGTTCGCTAAAGTAATAGATTAGTTGTTTGGTCTACAAAATGTCAAAATAGTGAAGAAAGTCAGTCACTGTAACGTCTTCAAATGTCTCAATGTGTCGACAACTCAAAGATATTTAGTTTGCTGAAATAGAAAAGGAAGGAAACTAGAAAATAGATCAATCAATCCATCTCTGTTGAGCAGCAAGACCTTCGATAACATTTCTAATACTGTGTAGTACTTTATATGCTTTTTGTAGGGTTTTAATTCGTAACATGTACAATCACAACAGCTGTTGTCTTAAATGTGTGACTGTTTTCAGAGTGTGCCATACAAATAGTTTTTATTTAACGCTGTAATAGCAAATAGGGCTGCACCTATTGTTTGTTTACATAATGACCCTGCAGATAATTTTCTTAATGAATCGCTCTATAATCAGTCAACACTACAGAAGAGCTTAGTTTGATACATAAATGGTTTAAAAAGAGCAGATCTGCTTAAAAATCGATTTAAGTGACTACCAAAAGAGCTCTTGTTAGGGATGCACAATCACTTCGTCGTGATCAGCCAATGAAGGCTTTAAGGTGAAATATTGGCACTGGCCCACAATGAACACAGACAGATAAGATGACGCTGACTAATGCTCAACACTGTATCTCTGGCGTGAGGGTGCACGCGTAGACAGAGATTACATTTATGTACTTGTTTTGTAACTTGTAAAACAGGTCAACTTCGCCCTGGTTGTGTCTACTGTCAGGGCTCTCAATCATTGAGAAACTCTGCTGCGAAAATAAAATGCTTTTGTAGTTGTGTGCTTTTAAGATAATTATGAAATACAATGTTGTTTTGATGAAGTGATGGCGTTCAGTATTTCATGTGTATTTACCTTTTCTTCACATGCTGTTATTTCCAAAAACAGCCCTATCTGTGACAGTCATTTTTCAAAACAGAATACAAAATGGACACTCAAATACAAAGGAAGCGAACTCAAAAGGACTTTGAAGTTGCAATATTTCATTTGTCTCAGTTAAAGAATACACAAGGCAAAATATAACTTCACAACTCAGCCACCAGTACAGGAATAACCTCTTCTCGCATCTCCTAAAAGAACACAGCAATATTAATGATCTACAAAAAGGCTCGTGGTGTAGAGCAGAAAAGGAAGACATCAGAAAAACTAGGATACAAAACTAGAAATTTGCTTTGACTGCTCCATTTGCTGGTATTAGAAGCTGCATTATCAACAAGTTCTTCAGCTTCTTGAACTTAGAGTGCTGCAGCTGAAAGAAATATATCCCAAATGCCTGTACATGCTCAGTTATTTCTTAAATGTGGGGAAACATATTCTGAAAGCACTCTTGGGACCAACATCAGGAAAATACAATCATATTATCTACAGTTTGGTCAACACTGTTTCAAATGCGACTCTCATCATCCATTCCAGGCACAACCTTTAACAAGCATTCACATCAGCTTTTAACATCTCTCTTGAAACAAAAGTACAGGACTCCCTCTTGTGCTGACGGAGTGGTACTGCTCATCAGTGTCCCACATGTTAGTGTAACTGAATAAACTACACAAACTGGTCTGACAACAGCGACGTACAACATCATTCAGCAGAACTTAAACGACCTCACAGTGCAGAAGTAGAGCTCATTTTCACCAACAAACAAGACCCCCAGGTGCCCAAATGTCATCTTCTGTGTAAATATTCCAAAGTGTTCAAACATCAAAAGTGACTGAAATCACATCCTGACACCTGATCAGTGCCTCTTTTTGCACGCCGATGGGCGTATGCAGGTCTGACACCTGAAAGTTCAGCACGTCAATGTCCGACGCTCCAAACGTGGCCTCCACCTTCACCTTTTCGTGCATGTGAAACTGAACTTTCTTGTTGGACATGGAGAGCAGACATCTTAGGAAGTTCTCTCTCAGCACAGATCGCGCATGCTGCTCTCTCTGCAGCTGCTCGGGGTCTGCCTCTGACGCAGCCGAAGAAGAAATGGAGGTGCGGCAGAGAGCGATGAAGCGGGGCGACTTGGGATCAAACCCGCGGCTGTTGGGGTCGGGTCCTTTGGGCAGGCGGAGCACAGACACCGGCGTCGCCATGTTGAATCTTTACGCAAATACCTGCGAGAACAAAACAAAGTCACAAAGGGAAACTGGCGTCATAAAAACCCACAATATTGAGGTGAATTTACACAGATACGGAAGTTTAAAATACAAACTGGAAATACACTGAACTGATTCAGCAGTTTCAAAGATTAATGTGGCACTAGAAAAAAAAATAAGTCTCAAGATAAAAAAGTTGCCGACACACTGAGACGATGCTCCCAAAAGGTGACTTATTAAGCACATCTGCATTACGTTAACATGACTAAGATGTTGTCTCCTGTAATAACATCTTCCAAAAATTAGCTACCTCTCTATAATTTGATGATACGTCTTTCAGGGAGGTAACCGTTAAAATATGTTTACATCTGAGCTTTTCCTTGTAAACATTGTAAATAATTGTATGTGTACAAACTGACGTAAGTGCTGGACCTGGGAAGAACCAGGAGGAGGAAAACGTTGAAAATCGGGTGAATACACTTTAGAAATTGTCTTTTTGGATTACGGAATATGAAAAACGTAAGACTTGCTGTTTCTCAAAAATGCAGATTAACTGGTTGTCTCTGTTTTATATGTTTATATATTACATAACTTGACATGTGTAGTAAATTTACAGGTGTCAGATTTCCGTAACATGTGATCGATATTTGATTTAAAAAAAATGCAAAAACAGGACACCCACAAAAACATCCAACAATTAAGTTAAAGCCAACAGGCTATAACTCAAACATGCAAATTGCCAAATTAATTAACAATGAAAAAAATTAAGTAACAAAACAAAGCAATTAAACCTTAACAGTCAAGTCAAGTCACTCGTACATCACATTAAAGCCAATGAGTGAAAAGTGGTTTTCAGTAGAAAAATAAGCTTTGCATAGCAAATTTAAGTTTAAAATTAAGGTGAACAGTATTATTTTTTTTAAGTAAATTCACCTCAGTAAATTAAACATTAAGATTAACTCCCTAAAATATTAATAATTATGCAAATGTGCCTGAATAATTAGAAAATTAAGGGTGAGAACCTACAATGTTATATACTTTAACAAATTAGCAGATTAAATTAAAAAAAAATATGGTTAAGTTAACACATTTAGCTGACTAAATTTAATTTAAAGTATTCATTTGAATATTTCTGTCTTGCTAAATAATAAGTATGAAAATTAGCTGACAGATATTGAGGTGAAAACAATGATCAGATGCAGGCCTTAACTGTGCTTTACTGCAATATTTGTTGATACAAAACATACAAAATTCACCTTTTTTAATGCAGTGGTGTATTAGAAAACTTGCAGTTCTTGACATTAGATATTTTTATTATTTACATTTTGTGCCTATAATCCAAAATGCATGGAGGGTAAGTTACAAAAAGCTTCTCAGGGTTCCATTTTATTAATGAAATAACCTAATTGCTATGCTGCTATAGCTTTAGACTGCCTGGGGACTACCATGGTGCCCTGGGCTCCTCTCCTCTCCTCTTCATATATATATATATATATATATATGTATGTATGTATGTATATGTTTATATAGTTGTATATCACCATTACATATGACTAACTCTGTGACTCCCCCTGAGGTTCTCCTGCGCCTGTTCTCTCTGTGGATGTCTCTGGATCTGGAACTCCTGAACTGCAGCCGCTGGCCTCACCTTCTGTATCCTGCTGCCCCCACCAACAACAGCATGGAATATTTCATTGGTCCATTTAAAATGGAGGAACGAAAGGACAATAACCTCCAATAACTTCTTTAACTGTACACTAAATTGTATAATTCATCCCACACCCACCCAACCCGTCGAGGCAGATAGAATCCCTGAGCCTGGTTCTGTCAGAGGTTTTTCTCCCCCACGTGGGTTTTTGGTTCCTTCCCACTGTTGCGGACTGCTGAAGCTTATAGGGAATCCAAATGTTTTGGATTGTTGGGTGTTTCTGCCTTTGTTAAGCGCTGTGAGATGACTTGTTGTTGTAAATATGCGCTATACAAATAAAATCGAAATGAATTAAAGCTAACCTGAATTAATCTTAAACATGTGTATGTACCAAAAATGCACACTGAGCCTAAAACCAGAGTTTCCAATGTCACAAAGGTGGCCCTCGTCTAACCTGGCTGGCTCACCATGGCAACTGATGCTGCACACCTCGGAGGATCTGTTCTTGAGATTTAGCTCAGCGGTAAGAGGTGCCACCTGTTGATGATTTTCCACGAGCAACACAGATTCTCAGCTGAGATACATGCCACATCTTCAAACCTGTTGAGCTGTATGCTACAAATAACAGTGAATGACGCTGTGCAGTGACAGTAACACAAACTGTATCTACACATTGTGTTGCCAACCTACACGCATTCAACTGGTGATGCAGAAAATGCACAAATATGCTTGGTCCGGAAGTCCATGAATACTGTTGCAGCTAATGGAGCAGGAATTAGAAAAGCCTTTCATCTGGTTGTATGTATCACAGAGGACTTTCAATCATTTACATTCATTCCACTGTAGGCCAAAACCTGAAGTGATTCCCACGTGGTGCAGTGTCAGATTTAAATGTACGTGATGAGAATTATGTTTAAATAAATGATATTTCAAGATGAACAGCTCTAATGTGCAGCTGTCAGAGCATAAAGAACCTGGTGTTCTGAGTCACTACATTAAGGTTGATGACTAATTGTTTTCTACCCTTCTTTTGTCATCAGCAGCGCTTAAACACCGTAATCAATTTCCAGTTCTCCATTATAACAACCTGTTCCCTTTGACTCAAATATCGGTCCACGTTGGTGTGGACAAGAGAGTCAAATGACGCATCAAACATCCTCTTTCTTTTGGTTAGCAAAGAAAGCTGATGAGAAAGGTGGTACCCGTTATCTCTGGTTGGAGTTTCAGGTTTTATCCAGCCAGCTCGCACACCGAAAGTCTCGCTATGTAGCACAACAAAGCCAATATAGTTGTTGAACAGGGAAAGTCGTTCACTTTTGTTTCAAAGTTGGCTACTTTCACCAAAAACTTGATGTTGTTGCTATTGCTACGATAACTCGGTGCCGTTTGAACACAATGTAACCGCATAATACGGTTTTTCTTCCTCCCGTTAGTGGCACAAAACAACGCGACAGCGTAACCAAAGACGTACAAACATTTAACTTAACGTCCTCTGGAGTATTAACGTACTTACTGACAGGTCCCTCCTGTTAGCAGCCTGTTAGCAGCAGCAACCAAGAGCCGCCATGTTGTTCGTCTTCTTCTTCGTTGGATTTAATTGACAAAGCAGGTTGCAGGGGCATTACCGCCGCCTAGTGACCCGAAGAGGGAAAAACACAGTAGATTCACGGGTAAAAACTTCAACAAAAAACAATTCTTACATACTATCTAAAAGTTTTGTCCAAATAATATTTCACAGTTTAATGCTAGGCTTTGCTTCATTTATTTAAATGCATTATAGCACTCAAATGTAAATATTACATCACCACTTCCTCTTTATGTGTTTCAGTGTCAAATTTGAGAAATTCATTTTAAATTGAGTTTAAAAGTTGTTGTTTTTTCAATGCACATAATACCAGCCTGTTTTATTCCATCTCCCAATTTACTACAGCTTTCAGATTTACACTGTATTTCAGAATTTAAAGAGAACCATCTTTTATTTAATGACGTGTAGTGCGTCACAAACAAAACTCCAGTTTCGGCGGTTTCTGAGTTCATTTCCTCATAACGTTAATACACGTCCGAATTATGTAAGGATTACAAAGGTCAGGTCTGTCAATCACAGGATGATGGGAAGTCATACATTGTTTTGGAAAACAATGCAAGCAGCTGCCAGTAATCGTTTTTTTTTTTTTCCCTGCTGACATAGAGAAAGTCAACATTTGCAGAATCATCAAATTCTTGGAAAATGGAAAAGGGTTCTTTGTTCGAACAGAACTTTTCTTCTTCAAGTCTCTTCAGTGAGGGGGTGTCTGTAACAACAAGACAATGGCACACGTGTGTATGTGAATGTTTGCAGAAACCAGATGTACTTTTTGATGCACAATAAGAACACCTGACATGGTGCAGTCTGCTCTCAGGTGTTCTCCTCCCTTCACAACTGTACAAAAGGAGAAAACTGTGCATCCTTTTCCCATGCTGCACAAAAGATGTTCTGGTTCATCAAACTGAGCAAACACTAATACAAATTCTGCTGTCCTGACCCAAAAAAGCATCCAAGATAGCCCAAAAAACTTCCTAACTGCTAAGAGTGACAACCGACAGCTGCACTCCACGATACTTTGTGTCATTGGAGGGTGTTTTATGTTCATAATTCTAAAGTCCCAGCTGCCATCAAATGGGAGGTTGTTGAGGAACCCCAACAAATATGTCCTTGTGTGAAAAAGGAAGGCAGCATGACAGGTGCTGGCAGGCTATTTTTCCCCAAGTCTTGCCAGCTAATAAATTGTGTCGCAATGTACTCTACAATTTTATTGTCATATTGACAGACAGAAGCAAGCAAAGGCATAAGTAGACTAGTGTTTGGCAGCTGAGTAAACTAAGTTAAACATTTATACTGTGACAGGATGAATGCTGGCAGAGAAGTTTGCAGCAACAATAATAAAAAACAATTCCATAACCTATTCTATCATTACAATCTTAACAATTAGATTATTTATACTAATATGAAACCACACTGCAGACTCCTATTCAAAATTACTGCCATTTAAGATTTAATCTAGGCTGTTATGACCTCGGTGATAGTTACTCATCACGAGTATCTAAAAGTTTCCTGTAAAGAGCTGTGGTTGCAGAATCAAAACGTGCTACGTCGCTTCTATAAAGGAGAAGAAAACAAGTCAGTTCTTGTTTCTCGGTAAAATTTACCGACAGTTTATGATGTATTATGAAATCAGACATTAAAATGTCTGCCAGGAATCTGGTCAGCAGGGTACATCGAGCTGCTGCCTGTCTAGCCTTAGTGTTGTAACACCCTCCTGTTATCTTCAATATCTTTTATTCTTACAGGGTCACTTTGAGTCCTGCAACTGTTTCCCACATTTATGTGTCATTAAGCCGACTTTATGTTCCCACAACTACGGAAAAAATGCAAAAAGTTGGAACGAAAGCTCTTTTTTGGCTTTAATGACTTTATATTATTTCAAAGTACAGTTTTTTGTTATTTCTAACATTTGAGAAGAAAAATGATTTGTAATCGAGAATAGTAATGTATATTATGTTCACGGTCAGTTTCAAACAATAACAAGTCCTTTGCAAATGTAATTTCATTTACAACACAGTGAATTTGAGCAATGTATCAGGGACTGTCATCTGCTGCTGTTTCAAATGCACTGAGGCGCAGGAGCGTCAATACAAATTTCACAATAGTCAGTATAACTGATCTGCCCTAACAGCCTTACTAAAATGCTGACAAAGAAAGAAGAAAGCACAAACAGTCGTGCTGCAGCTGGGAAACCAACTGCCCACTTCTGAAGAGAGTATTCTCCCTGTCAAAAATGACGTGGAGAAAGCAATAAGAGGAAGATGACTAATTGAGTTGTTTAACCTGCTATCATGAAGGCTGTAGCACATTTTGTGACAAATGCTAGTTTGCTATCTTACAGATATAACGAATACATAATGAGCAAAGGCATCACTAATGAACCAGAACCACAACAACCTTCAGTCTCACAGTTCCTGGACATCCGTGTAGGGCAGTATTCCATGAATCATTAACAACAGAAAGCTGTTACCAATGGAAAACTGGAAAAATTGGTGATTGAATGCAACATGCCTCTGTCTGTGGTGGAACACAAGAGTTTTCTGGATTTCCTGAAAATAGTCGATCCTAAATACAACCCAGTGTGCCACAAAACATTGACCTCAAAAACAGAGACAGTTGCTGGAGTGGGATGTGACAAACTGAAAACTCAGCTGAGCAACTCAGATAGCGCTTCAGTCACTGTTGACATTTGGTCTGACCAAAGGATGAGGGGGTTCCTTGGTGTCACCGTGCACTACATGGAGATAGACAAAGATAACATACAGCTGAAGTCCAATCTCTTGACCTGTGATCGCTTCAAAGGTTCACACACAGGAGAAAGGATCTGTGAACAATTTGCAGCTATATGTCACGAGTATGACATTAAAAGTAAGCTGGACTATGTTGTTACTGACGATGCAGCCAACTTGCGGAAGGTATTCACAGTGTGCTTCCCCAGTGAAGAAGGTGAAGTACATGATGACGATCACCTTGATGACCCAGAGCTATGGCATGACCTCAGTACAGACAGTTGCAGTGTTTTGCACACACTCTCCAGCTGGTGGTGGGAGATGGCAAAGACACAAAGGTGACAACATCTTCTCTGTCAAAGCTGTCAAAACGCAGCTGAGGCTGCATATGGAGAAAGAAACGGCATCCCTGCTGCTGTCAACACCAGATGGAATTCAACACTGAGGCAGGTGAAGGCAGCTCTTCAATGCGATCATCTAAAGCTCTCCAATGTCCTGGAAAAGGTGGGACACAGGGAGTTGACATTCACAGCACGGGAGTGGAATCTGTTGAAGGAGCTGGTAGACACCCTGAAGCCGTTTGCAGAGGCAACAGATTTGACACAGGGGGATAGGTTGGTTACCATCAGTTCTGTTGTTCCTTCAGTTCTGGCCCTCAATCACCACCTTGAGAAGATGATGCCTGCAGTCTGTTTCCTGGGCAGTCTGGTCAGAAGTCTCTAGGAATCCCTGAAGAAAAGATTTCTTGGAATCTTTGTAAATGTGAAAATGGCCACTGCACAGTATGGAACCACCGTCCAGTTTTCGGACCCAGTCTACCTCAAAGCAGTTGCCTTTGCTTTGTATTGGGTGGACCACCATGTGCTGGCCCATCCTGACATAAGGGTAGAGGTGGCCAAAGAAGTGAAAGATACATTTTGAGTTTAACTAGACATACAAACAACTCACTTGGCTATTTTCACGGCAATAGTTTTGATATTTTGCTATTTGCTCCCACACTGTGTTTGCATCCCTGTTAATGTGTTTCTTCTTAAATAACAGACAACCACAAAAATACCCTTGAGTTTCACCCACTGTATTACCAACACTAACAAAAAGGGCTCTGTTTTGTTTTTACATGTTTTGCCAGAACTGGCCTTGCGAGATGCAGTGGAGGCTGACCAACCTGTGTCTCACAAGGAGGAAGATGAGGACCTTGAAGAAGAAGGTCTGTTTGCTGCATACCATAAGAGACAGAGGAAGGACGCTAGCACCACTCCAGCATTACAGCTAAGTCACTATCTCGACTTGTGTGAAGGACAGACTGCGCTGTCATTCTGGACAATGCACCTGAAGGCTCTTCCTTCACTATTTCCAGCTGCCATCAGGGTCTTAGCAGTTCCTGCTACCAGTGTTCCGGTTGAGCGAGCTTTCAGCCATGGTGGCATCATAATGCGGCCCCATTGTGCACAAATGACTGACAGACCTTTGGCCAATTTGATCTTTTGTAAATGTAATGCTAGTCTGCAGGGGAATCAAACACTGACGTGTATGCCACCAATGCAAACACACACGTACAATCCAACAGTTATCCTGGCTCTCTCTCTCTCTCTCTCTCTCTCTCTCTTTCTCACACACACACACACACACACACACACACACACACACACACACACACACACACATGCATGCACACACAGACAGTACAACAATATAATAATATTTCAGGTTAAGTACTGAGGAATGTTTATAAGGCACACTGGGCTGTATTTCAAAACCCAAATCGTGTGTTCAACAATAGACAGGGTCATGTTAATCAGACAGGGTCATGTTACTCATTCTGATTTATGTTGCAAAGTACAAACTACTGCTTATGTTCTGAAAGAAGTATCAGCACTCCTTAAAGGACATTTTTGGCAATGGCTTCCTGCTGTGCACACATTTTACTGTTAAAGTTTACTGATAAAGGACCACTTCACCTTTAAAATGAATCCTGTATCAATAGGCCCAACGACTGTTATAGGCAACAGATAAAGTTGTGTGTTGGGCTCTGTTTTTGTACAATGTTTTTGTGAAAATTCAGTGGCACCTTTGGGGGGAAAAACACCTTGAAAGAAATAAACATTTTGAAACGTTATCCGTATGCCATTTTTATTATTTATTAAAGTTCAAGTTAATGGTTCTCTATTATCTCTTGCACATAATGACATAGCAGCACAGGGTCTCTGGAACCCTAAAGTATTAATTCTTCATTTTTAAAAATTTAATTCAAGGTGTGAAAGTGTCTTCAAATGTCTGGAATTGT